AAGTGAATACACAATGAACCCACGATGAAAAGCCATGAGCACAGCAGGGGACATAAAAGACTGAGTAGTCTTTCTCTGAAAGCTGTGAGTCCAAGGAGGACTTCAGCTTAGGAAAGGAGGAAGGAGCAGCATGAGATGGAATGAAGGGAAGATCCAGTGCAGTGAGATTTCCAGAAAAGAGAAACTCAAAGCTTTCCCTTGTCACTGAAGAGCACACTGTGTATGAGAATTGCAAATAGTTGTTTATAGTTTAGGGAAAGGTACCATAAAAGGAAAGGGGGTTGAGGATGTAGTCAAGCACCACAGAATAAATCTGTGCACTAGACCAAGCTTGTACCCCCTGTAAAGAAGCAGCTACATAAAGACTGAATAAGATGAGACAGAATGGTAACAGTGTTTAAACAAATAAATCTGTAAGTGCAAAGAAAACAGATTGTAAGTGAGACACTTAATTTCCCCTCCAAGAAGGGAGGGAGCAGATAGCAAGTGAAAAGTGCACAACTGGAGGGTTTCCATTCGCTATACAGTAGTGGCGGCTACTCAAGCAAAAGAAAAAACTCAGTGAGAAGGTCCAAAACAAAGTGGAAGGCAAGGACTGACAGTCGGTTATCCTCTGACACATGAGCAGATGTGCACACACACACACATACACACACAGACAGAGAGAGAGAGAGAGAGAGAGAGAGAGAGAGAGAGGGGGAGAGAGGGGGGGGGGGGAGGGAGGGAGGGAGGGAGGGAGAAAGGGAGGGAGGGAGAGAGAGAGAGCTAAGAGACAATGCTACAGAAATGAAAGGGGTAGGGAAATCCATATGAAGAAGTGTTTTCCAGCATTGTGGAGATTGTGGAGTATGCACTGGTTTTGTGGAGTGTTTAGTGGCAGCCATTTGTTTTCCTATCACATTTCAAATTCCCCTTTATCTGAAAGTGAATCCCATTTATCCATTTATCCATTTCAGCCCCAGAGGTCCTGGTTGGTATTTCAAAATCCCTTCTGGATTCAAGTTATCAAGATATTTGCACAATAAGTCTCTTTACCAACTAAACCATCTTGATAGTCTTTTGATTTTTAAGGCAGTCTTTCTCTTCGGTCCAGGTGGACGTGGCTCCATCTTCCTATATGAGTTTTCCAAGTGCTGAGACTGCAGGAGGCATGAGCCATCATCATGGCCTCCTACTGTTGCCGTTCGTCTTGAACCTGGTAGCAGTCAATATTCCCAGGTATTTTCTTATGAACAAGTCAAGTGAAAAAAAGGTTTATTAAATTATGCCTGGGGTCTGGGAATATATTTGTAGAGTATTTGTTAAGTAATAGAGGAGACCCTTTTTGGTCTCCAGCAACATAAAGGACCTGTAGCATTGGTACTTACCTGTGATTCCAGGACTTAGGAAGGGAAGGTAGGGGGTAAGATTCAAGGTTCTTTTCAGCTACCAAACTAGTTTGAGGTCAGCCAGACTATACGAGATGTTAAAGAAATTGCTTTTGCTGAACACTTTTATCACCAAAGCTTACACTTGCATATTTTCGAATCGAAAAATGAAACTTCTCATCATTTTTTCCCACTAAGAAGCTGTATTGTAATACTATTTTGCAGTTTTCTGAAACCCAGCGGAAGTAAACATGAGTACTGCACTTCTGTTGATCCCGTGTAGAGTGAATGAAAGGTAGTTAAGTGAGCTCAGATGGCCAGCAATTCAAAAACCTTGGTACCAACAGTCTTTAAACATTACACGACATATGACCAGGCACGAGATACAGGCACCTTAAATGGACCACATGGGGAAAGTACTGAAGAGACAATACAAGGGAGACTGAGCTGCACACTGAAAAACCAAAGCCAAAAGACATGCTGAAGTGCATGAGAGTGCAGGCCTTTGTTTCAGAAGGGCGGCCACTTCATCACCATGGTTTCTCCAGTCAGACCAAACAAGCTGCAGGTTACAGTATCTGACACTCTTCCATAACTCAGTGCCGTTGACTGTAGGGCATGCTATTCCTAGATCACCTCCACCCATTTTCACCTTTGTTCCCATTATTTCCCCATGATTCACCTGGAACAATCCCTATACGGAGACCCCCTTCGCTTTCTCTCTGTTTCAACAGCGCACTGTCTATACTCATATTACAACAACTACTCCATTGATTATTGAGACTGCCTATTTGCTGGGATTGTCCTCTTGAAGCCAGGGGCCATGGTTCCTCATCCTGACACCCCTAGTATCACATACAGTGCCTGGCACTTTAGAAACACAGAAAACAATGTTTGCTTGTGTTTTAATAAAGGCTGTACTTATAGCAGTGAGATCAAATGGATAACAATACTGACAAAGGAATATTATTTGGGAGTGTCATAAATTAAGAAATAAGGTTTGATTATCTGTGACCTAAAATAAATGTTACAGATAACATCCAATTTAAGAGCTTAAGCCATGTTAGTATGTTTAAAATGGAAACAAAATAAATAGGGATCACTGTTTTGTCTTTAGTGTTGTACTTTGCAAAGACTATATTGAAATACTATTCCCTCCCCAAACTGCCTTCTCCCATTTCTTCTTGCACATCTGTGGACTCTGCTTTTTCCTAACTAGCACTTGTGGTGTAAAATTTAAAAATATTAAAAGATAGGTGGTAGAAAACAAAAGAAAGGAAAGTAAATAGCTCGGATGAAAGTTACCTGAAAAATCAGCTATTAGAAACTTATATGTCTTAGAATAAATAAAGCTGATGAACATGTCAAAAATTACAATGTAAATGAAAAATGCTTCATTAAAATTTTTACATAATAATAAGAAAAAATAGAAAACCATAAAACACAATGGTTTAATATTAAAACACCGTGAGAACACAATGTTAAAGACATTTACTGATGCAAATGATCAGTCAGACTAGAATAAAAAGGGGACACAAATTCTTGTCAAGGAAGATGGACAACAAAAGCCACCATGTTAGATGGCCTTAGTATGTCTGTGAAATACAAAGGCTCACTTAACAAAGGCAAAAATGCTCTTTTAAAGGGTATAAATATGCAGGTTGATATTCAAACTTGAGTTGAAATACACAAAGGTTTTCATTACTATACATCTCCAAATATATTTCTATGGTTCTGATACCAATGAAAATGGATATTTAATATGCAATAAAATCTAAGATATTCTGAGAGATCCCAGAACTTGAGCACTAAGAGGTATCCCATGCTGATCACACCCAGATGTACTTCTGGTGTGAACTAGCAGGAGCAATTAGATTGGCTGCTAAGGAGATTCTAGAACAGGAACAAAAGTAACAGTCAGAGATGAAGACTATACTTATCTGTGGGTTTAAGGACAAATACTTATAGATTGTTGTTAAAGGATTATGCTAGTTTAATGGATTAGTGGTTGCATATTCTCCTCCAAGTTAGCTAGGCTTCAGAACCAGCATGCTTTCCTTCTTGTTGAGCAGGTTATGTACAATTAGAGAGATTTTGTTTACCGATAAGGTATATATGCTACTACTGCACCCTGAGGGTTACTGTGCCATGCTGGTTGCGAATGTGGTTTATAGATACCATAGCTGAGTAGGACTGTTGGCTACATTTTTCCTTTGCAACAGATGGAGACCACTATAGAAAATCACAACCAATAAGAATGCAGATTTTTGGAGCCCAGTCCAAGTGGAATCATCTAGAAATCACACCTGTACCTAAGGCTTCGGGAGCATTGCAGCAGCAGAGACGGAGACATTGCAAGACTCGGAGGAACAAGGTTTTTGTTATGGGATTCTGTCTCCTGGTAACATCAGAAAATACACCCATAAAATGTCATCAACATGCCAGGTGGTGGTGGTGCAACCCTTTATTCCCAGCACGCAGGCAGCAGATTTCTGTGAGTTTGAGGCTAGAGTGGTCTACAGAGTGAATTTCAGGACAGGTTCCAAAACTACACAGAGAAACCCTGTCTTGAAAAAAAACAGGAGGAAAAAAAAATGAAACAAAACTCATCAACATGACTTAACAAGGATGTCACCAATGGATATGTCAAAGTGGATGGGGAAAATCCCAGGAGGTATTAATCCTACACAAAGAACTATGTGTAACTGAGAAAATCTGGGAGGAGGAGAAGTGGTCTTTCCCAGGCAAGAGCACGCCAATTGGTTTTTCAGTGGCAAATGGTCATGCAAATGGTCATTCCTAGAAACACGCATATAAGCATCATTATACAGGTTGTATTTAGGAACACACACACACACACCTGTACATATATGAATGCAATGACAATTAGTGAAATAAAAGGCCAGGAATTTGAAGGTGTGCTGGTAGACAGGAGGGTGAAATGCTATAATTACATAACAATCTCAAAAATGTTAAAAAATGATCTGCTAGGAATAAAAAAATCAAAAGATATGCAAACGGTACTGTCAGCCAGAGGGCTCAATGGGTAAAGGTGCTTGTGATCAAGACTGACACCATAAGTTCAATCCCTTGGACCCACATGGTAGAAGGGAAAGACTTATTTGGCAAATTGTCCTGACATCAACATGCACACTGTGGAACTCAGGCATGTAAGTGCATGCAAATACACAAAATAATAAATGCATTTTTTTTTAAAAAAAAAAAAGAATGGTCAGATGTCGTAGGCAGCATAGAACAAGTGTCAGTCAGAAACTAGCTACCCAGTTTTTAATTGTTTTGAGATTACCTGGTCTCCCTTTGTACTTCCTATAGCATTTGGGGAATGACTAAATATAGTGAAATTTGGAAGTATAAAACTTATAGAATTATGTAAGAAGAAAACTGGGTATCTGTTTTATAGACATAAGGCAATATAAATTAGATGACATTTTACTGAGTTTTTCAAGTGCTGTTTGAAATTGAATTTTTCCCTCCTGCTCTTTCTCGACCTCATTTGTAGCCAGTGACTTGAAAACAGTAGACACATTGGGCTTGACTCTGAAAGCTGGCACTTGACTTAAAACAAACTTTTCTATAACCAAATGCTCAATACACTTATTTTAAAATTAAACTTAATTTTTTTTTATTTTCATGAATTTGCGTGTCATCCTTGCGCAGGGGCCATGCTAATCCTGTCTGTATCGTTCCAATTTTAGTATATGTGCTGCCGAAGCGAGCACTAAACTTAAAAATTTATTAAACTGTTACTTCCCTCAGTCTAAAGTCACTGACAGCTAGAATATAATCCTTCGTCCATTATTGCATTCACAAACATGTGTGGCCTCTACCTGACCCTGCTGGTGTGTGTTAACTCCTTTTTCAGAGATCACCTTCACGTACACTGACAATTTTATCTTTAGAACCCCCAGTATGCAACAGGACCCATACACCTAGAGATGTGTTTATTGGCTGAATCCCTTCAGGCTCTTTGGATCCCATATTCACCTTTAAAAAGCAATTTGATGTGTCCGATTTTCCATCTTCACTACAGTGGAAAAAGGAATGTGATGGGTACCGAGAGTGGATCTGAACTCCCATGAATACTGCTTCACTCCCACACTCTTCTTGCCTTTCCTACCCATCCCTCCCTTTCTATTCATCTTTACACACAAGTTCACCCTCCTGAAATACAAGGTTGGGGTAAGTCTTGAACGCCTGCCTTTTATCTAGGCTTTTTGAAGGCTCTCCTAACTGCTGGCTGCATGTCCAGCACCTTCTGTTAACACTGGAGATGTGAGTGAAGCTAGGGGAGGGTTACAGAATTGGAACTGAACACAGTTCATAGTACAGGATTCTCTTATCTTATAGAAGCACGGTGGACATGCAAGGATGGCCTCACTGGAGTAAGGTCTTAACTTGTACACGATACTAATGTCACCATCGTAACTGATGCACGTGGTGGCCTGACTGTTTAGAGATCATGGAGCTATGCCCTGTACCAGAACTGGTACAGTGCCACATTAAAAGGGTCCCATGGATCCCTGCTGGAAAGGTCATCCTCCTCCCAGTGCCCACAGGACTATTCCCTCCATTCACGGGATGTTAGAACGCGGGTGAAGTTTAAGTAGGGGAGCAGGCATTTTGTAAAAAATGTGCACTTGCTCAATTCAGTCTGTATTTTGGAATGTTTTAGTTTCTAGCTGTCTTATCACGTTCTCTTAAAACGCATCATTTAAAATGTGCGCACACAATCTGTGCACCCTACACTTGGGACTGCCAGTGAGTTATGAAATTTTTAGCTTCTGTAAGTGGCAAACTAAGACAGAAAAACAACTCCCAGAGGCAGGAAAATAGGAGCTAACAGAATGGGAAGATTGGGCACTGTCAATCAACAGCACAGGATCTGAGCCAGAGCCCCTCAAAAAACTCAGAACTGGTTTCTAAAACAGCACAACTGTCGGTTTCATTCCCTTGGATTCCTGAAATTTGCTGAGGCCTCAAAATAAATTATTTCCTTCCATTAATTTTCTATAAATAGTAGGGGGAGTAGGTCTCGTTATAACTCAAATTCACAGTTAAAAAATATGATTTATAACCAAATCTACATGTAGGTTAAAATCTAATTTAAAAATATTTTTATTACAGAATAACCAGGAAGATGGAATGGCATGGAATAATGCAAAGAAGGTGGTGCACTAATTCTGTGACTCTTTAATTCTATCTCTTCAATAAGTTGTTAAAAAGTATTCTAGGTTTACCTGATCTAATGGGAACTCACCAACTGCATCCAGACAGGGAAGGAACCAGCATACGACCAAAGTAGACCTTCTGAGTGTGGGTGACAGCTGTACAGCCGGGGCAGACTGCAGGGCCACAGGAAGGGGCACCAGGCACCAGGATTTACCCCACTGCTTGTGCTGACTTGTTGGAAGCCATTCTCTTTGGATGGCTACTTTGCTCAGCCTAAATATAGTGGGGAGAGCCTTGATCCTTCCTTGGAGTAATGTGCCTTGCCCTTGGGGGGGGGTTGGATCAGAGGAGGGAGTAGGAACTGGGATTGGTATGTGAAATGAAAAAAGATGTTTTTTTTAATAAAATCAAAAAATTAAAAATATTCTAGGAAGAGCTCCAAACATTTCCAAAATTTGTTAGTTCTTCTCCACCTTTCCTAATTTAAAAGCTGCTGAGATGGATTTGTCACTTATGAAAAAGCAAACTTCATTTATTGTTTGAAATCAGGAAATGTAACTAACTAATAATTGAACTTGCATACCAACCAGCAATAAATGTTATAAGTATTTTACTACTTTGGACACACACTATGTAACTTTTCCCGGAGAAATATAAATAAATGTCCATTCACCAATCATCATCACAGGGCACTGATGTCTAACTTTGTCAACTAATGAGTTTGTTGTGGTTACTAACAAAATCACAGTGGCCTGAAGGCAGTACCCCAAACTCACCCTAGCATGGTTTGACAGCCCACAAATCTGCATTTCCTGTACAGCTTGCAGACGCTTGGTGGATGCATCTCTTTTCCCCAGCAAATGTTGCTTATATACTTGGGGGAGGCACCTTGTGAGCCTTGTAACTTTCAGGAGCTTGCTGAGTCCTGCATGTTTCATTTACACCCTGGGTCGCATAAGCCTTTTTCTAACTGTTCATACTGTCCTCCCTGCATTTGTAAGCTCAATCTTTTGAGCTACTCAGAAGACAGAATCACAATTAGATGCAGAAGTAATGGTTCCTAACACTCCATGTCTTGAGGGATGCCATTCAGAGGAACCTCAGGATAAATCATTGCTGACTTGAATGTTACTTGCATTTTATTTACCAATGTCTTTAAGTCCAAATGTTCCCATTTTGGGATAAAAGCCAGGAACTGCATGTACTTTTAGATAAAATTCTGAGAAAAACTGAAGCATAATTTTCTAGAAACTATAGAATGCATGTTTCAAATAGGTTAGAGACTATATTGCACACACTCGGCATTCTATGCTCCTAACAGCATAATAGTTCCTGCAACTAAAAGATTTCTATTTGCCTAAAGGATGTCAATAACAAAACTCTTCTTGGTTGCTGGAATTTTTAAAATTTATTTTTCTTTTAAACAGAAATCTTATCCTAATATTGGGACTAAGGAATCGTGGTTCGACAGAGCACTCATTTGAAACTGGGTAACACTGATTCAGGGAAACCTAAGTCAATTCTGCTCATTGCAATGGAGAATTATCACTTACACAAAATAGGATCTGAAAAGTAAAAAAAAAAATGATTGTAGAAGTAGGAATATAACATAAATAATGAAAAATTCTGTATTGGTTCACAAATAAAATCCTCTGTGATATCGGAAGTGCTCTAATTCATAAGATAATACATTATGGACTTATATTAACATACTTTTATTTAAAATTATAGTAGGATTTTGCATGTAGTTGTGATTCATCATTTTGAACAGGGATTATACTCTAAGAACTCTTGTTGTATTATACCATTAGATTTTCAGACAACAATGTGAATTCTTTCACAGTAGATATCTGAATCATACCTAAGAAAGGGCGGGATAAAACTATCATGTGCCTTTTAATTTGCATAATTAAAAAAATATTACCCACATTGTGCTACCATCTATGAGTAAATTCCTAAATTCATTCCACAAACACCCAAACAGCCAGAAACCCAGAACAGTTTGGAGTTTTCAGCTAAATAACGGTGTGGAAGGTTTGACTGTGTGAAATTCAATAACTTCTTACTAAAATATGTCAAAAAATTTATCTATGTCTACCAAAAATATGAGCAGCATATTTAACTGAAGAACTAACACACTTCTTTGATAGCTTCCTTGAATAAGAAATTCTCTAAGGCATACTTTGAGGGGGTTTCAGCCACAGAATTCCTGTAATTTCCTACTTTAACTTCCAAGATTTGAAAGTTTTCTCCTTCATATGATTATTGATGATGGTAAACATTGTCAAATGTGTCATTTACAAACTTGAATTAATTTCAGCAGAAAGAATAAAAAAAATGAAGTAGTTAATACTTTCAATGAAACAAATTGCTAAATTATTCCTCCAGGTTGCTTTTCAGCCTACTTTGGTTCTTCTTTGAGAAGAGAGGGTGGGGTGAGGAGTTCTGGAGAGCAAATTTTCATCATGAGTCATATGCTGGTCTCAAGGCGCTACCTTCTCGACCCTTTGATTCCTGTGGAATAGTTCAATTTTCTTAGTCATTGAGGGTTTAGTGAGAGCCTGAGATTTGAGAGAGGTGTCTAGTTTCTTTCAAGTTAATTAATAGTGTTGTGTCCAACTCAAACATGAGCTCTTTCCCGTCTGGGTTATCAAAATACTTGCCTTCTGCTATTGGTGAGACACTACAAAGTTACTGACTTAGAAGAGGGAAAAACAATTGCCATTTGATGAAACTAGCTACAGAGCACTTGCTGTCACAGACTTCCTTAAAAGTAAGTGAACGAACACCTTTTTGAAAAATTTACTTCATGAGAGAAGTTGGCCTAAATATAGATAATTTTAAGTCAGCCTGTTTACTAAAACTGGCTAATAGGATTCCTGGGAGTCTAGGGTAGGGGCTGTGTAGAGGACAACAACAACAACAATAATAAAAGACAAAATAAAAAGAAATGATAATTAAGAATTGTACTTAACATTCTTAATTCTGGGATATAATTTAAAGATTAATGTTGATGTACTTGAAATAATAAGTCCCTGTATTTAATTTTTATTAAATATATTTTCACATTTAATACATTTTTTCACACCCATATACACATACAAAAGTAGGGAGGCCTTAGAAACATGTTTATATCTAAATATACCTATATATAATACTGTGAAACAAAATCTGAATAAAAATTTTATTCCAACAACATTGTTCTATTTTCAATTTTGTTTATTGTTTAAGTCCTTTTTTTTAAATCACAGTGGAAATTAACTTAGGCTTATTCATCCAGTTAGTGCCTATTGTCCACTTCATCAAATGCCAACACGTAGAATCAACTCATTCATACACTCTATTTACTGTGACCATCCCACCATTCATTGCCTGTCTTTTTTTCCTTTTAACGGCAATATTGTGATAAGATTGTGAAAAGGTGGAACTAACAGGTTTATTTATATATATATATACCATTTCTTCAAGTATCCAGAAAGCAGTACATTTTATGCATTGTGCATTAGAAAACTACTGATGATATTACTTCTAAGTATATGAGAGTGGCTCCTGGTGGGAGTGTCATAAAGTTGTATGTCATCGTGTATGACAAGGATTTACAGCATTCTAGATTTTTCACAACTCTTCCGTGTTAGTGAATGACGTTAAGATTTCATTTCTCTACTCTCAAGTGTCAAATGTGGGATTTCCAACCACAAATAAATAAAGTACACACTCCGCATGTGTAGTGCAAATGCCCAGTAAACAGAGTGACATGGAACAGGCCTGTAGTTGTCATCTAGTAAGAGGCTCGACAGGGAGGTCCTGATTTTGTGAAGGCTGTGACTCATCTCCCTGTTCCAAGTGAATACTGTCACTGTCCCATGTCAGACATAATGACATAAAGGCTGCTGAGTTGGGTTAATGGAGTGAGGGAAAGAAACTCATTTGCACAAATGGGTGGTACAATTCCTGTCACTTCTGTGTAGCATGTAAAGTCTGACTTGCTGAGAAAACTTCAAACCCCTGCAGCCAAAGCAGGTACCAATCAGGAGAATCACAAGTGTTCTGCTTAGAAGAATTAGATGTTGGCACCTATGTACTAGATTGTGTGACTCAGACAATAAAAGGAACAACAAACAGATGCTATTTTAAAGTTAGAATTTCAGAACAGTGACACCTGAATATTCAAACTTATATTAGACAATCCAGTAGTCACATAAACACTCAAACAAGGAGCCTGCTTCCAAGGGCCATGGAAGCAACAGTCTTCCATACTTTGAACAAAATTAAGAGCTCTGTTGCTTTGTCTTAATTATGCATGTCAATTGACACGTTACTTACTAAAACAAGACAATTAGAGAATTCCTCCAGAGAAAAATCATTGGTGGGAGAAAATCATAAGAAACACGTGAAAACCAATTCCCTCGTTTGCTTCATGACATTTTCCTCCACAAGCATCCACAGTCGGTAAGAAAAGGACATATACAAAACAAACAAATAAAAAATCCATAATAAACAAGAATACAAAAATTGTGCCACCCATCTTTCCACTTGCCCCTTTGCGTGGAGTTTTGAGGGAAACAGTCTTTGAAGGTAGAATTGGAAGTGCACATATGTTAAACACTGGCAGAGAAACATTTGGGTCCTGTCTTTTCCTACTCCATTCCTGAATACGCTGTACTTTCAACAAATACAAGCTAAAACTCACTGACATAGGAATAGGAAACACACACACATACACACACATATCTTATTAAGAGAAAATACGCCATTCCTCACCTATAATACACGTGTAACATTTAAAACTAAGGTCTGACACAATCACTTAATTGATTTCAATAATTAAGGCTTCTAAATGGTTCAGTGCCAACTTTCTGCATCAGTATTTGAATGAAATACGTTTTTGCATTTAGGGCTGTGCTCTTTACAGATATCTTCTCCATGGCATTTCATTAGTAAGGTCGGATGAGGAGTATTAGAATTGTTTGCTGACATTTAGCTTTGGTAGCTGTTAGACTAAAGTATAGCAATACAAACTCAATGACTGAACAGATTTGTTCCCCAAACCTGGGCTGTTGGCTCATTTTACCTTCTTCTCGTGTTTAATATGGCCATTTCCTTTGTATTTGCCATTGGGGATTCCGTTTTGGTAATGTCCATTAACTGGGCTATGCTTATTTCTAGACCACAGACTTTTGATTTTTCTATAGATAAATTTTGTCACACAGGACAAAATGAAGTAGAACAAGGCAGCACCAAGCAAAAGCACAAAGGCAATATCCAACAGGAAATACTGGCAGAAAGAAATCTGATGCACAGCCGAGCGGAGGTGATGGGCTCCGTCATGGCGAAGAATGTAGTCTATCCAATAAGTAGTCCGATTGACAGGGTGGTCGGGTTGATCCTTATGAATTTCCGATAACTTCTGAGCCCTCTGCCGATAGCTGCAGTGGGGAAAATCATATGATCATGTATACACAGATTCTGTGCTAATTGTTATCCCAATTTAGGTGTGTGTGTGTGTGCGCGTGTGCGCACAGACGCATAGGTGGAAAAGATTGTTCTTCAAATAGAAAAAAATGAACCAGAATATTCTAGATATTTTCCCTCCTTGAAAGTGATTAAACCACATTATATTACAAGAAAAAAAATCCCTCATATTAAAAGTTGACCTTGAGTTAGATAATTGAAATTGTAAAGATCAGTTCACCTTTGTTTATGGCTTTCTTTAAAATGATAGTGTTTCCAGAGTTAGAAGAGTTCTTCCATATAAATAAAGCAGTGCGTTTTCACTAAATAAAATCAAGGCAGTAGGTAAAGGAAGTAGGATTATAACATCACATAGGTTTTGGGTTTTTAAAAAAAATCACTCGAAGACTTTCTTTAGTACTGGGCAGTTGTAGTGTACACTTTTAACCCCAGCACCTGGGAGGCAGAGACATGCAGATCTCTGTGAGTTCGAGGCCAGTGTGGTCTACAGGGTGAGTTCCAGGACAGCTAGGGTTGTTACACTGTGAAACCCTGTCTCGAAAAACCAAAAAGAAGAAGACTTAAAGACTTTCTTTAGCAAGATTTGTTTCTTGCCTTAAACTAGAATATAATGTTAATGAGGCAAATTAGCCTTTTAAATAATGACTTCACCTTAAATGTGGAACATTCACCATACATTTGAAGTAAATTGCTCCAGTTTGTAGAATGGCTTTTAGGGAATGGCACATTTGTGGCACACATCACTGCTATTTCTTTATTTAGCATTCACGTATTGGGAACTTCACTATTCTGCAGTTAGGATTTCATTGCAATATAATGAGTACAGCCTGATCTTTTCCTAATTCATGCTGGCTCACACCTCAGAGCATACTGCTAGGCTGACCTGGGAATACAGCTCATGGAAGAGTGCTTGCCTGGCATGTGCAAGCCCCTGGGCTCAACCTTCCGTGCCACAATCAAAACAAACACGCAAACTACCTTGCTGAACCACTTTCTGTAAATATTTCCATAAAATGGCCCCAAATTAGTGGCTCTCCAGCATTCCTGCACCAAACCCTTCCTTGAGATTTTGCAGGCCTATATGAAAATATTTTCCTAAGAGCATGTCTTGAAATGCATGATGTCTAACAAGGGAAACTACAAATTATAGAAGGGGAGTGTGCAGGTGCCTGAGGCGCAGAGTATATTGATCCAAGTGCCACACTTGTGACCAAGATATTGCTTATTTTAAGGGACCACAGATAAGTACCATCTCTAAGTCTACAAAAAGTTGCATAATGAACCTTGGAAGATTTGAAAATTTTGTATATAAGTTTAACATTTTTTAAGAAGCCATTTTTTTTCAATGTGGCATTTCTTAGAATATAGCAACAATTTTCAACTCATGGTTCAGCCGTCTTCCCCCAGGTACAAACAGAAATTAATTACTCTCTTCAGCTATTTAATATCATTTGAAGCACATAATAAACTAAACATCATGCTTTTAAATGAAGAAAATCGCTGCTTTGTTTAACACTACCCAGGGCAGCTGCCCACTGAGACTTATTTGTGAAGTGGGTTAACTCAGGACACATCAGGAATTTAAAAGGCGAAATAAAGATTCTAATTCATCATTCACATGAGCAAACACATCTCGGAAACAGCGAGGGCTGGGAGAGCCAGCAGCACGTGTTTGCCAGGCAGGATGGAGAGCTCTGCTTAGACATCAGATATGTCTGCCTTCAGCTCATATTAGAATAGCTATGTGACCATAGGCAAATCACTGAAGGTCTCTGATCTTCAAGTGCCTCATTTCTATAGTAAGAACAGCAAAATTTCTTGTACAAGGTAGTAGCAAGAGTGATGACTTGATCATTGTCAACTTGAGTGAATTTAAAATTCCCTGAGAAACATGTTTCTGGGTATGTGTGTGAGAACAGTTCCAGGAGGGGACTGAGGAGGGAAAATATAAATATGACAACGTTGTCCTATTTCAGGGATTCAGGAAAAGGAAAGAGAAAACCAGAACAGGGGCAGTGTTTTCTACTCCCGCCTTTCCTATCAAGGTGTGAGGAAGCTCATGTGAGCACAGCTGGGAGCCACTCCTGCCATCAGGCCTTCCCCTGGGCTAGCAGGATGTACCTTCAAACCACATACCAAAATAAATCCTCCCTCCTCTAAGTGACATCCTGTCAAGTATTTGGTCACAGCCATGACAAATGTAACTGGTGCAAAAAAGTATCAATGGTAAATAAAAGATACAAAATCTGACCCACTAGAGGGATCCACCTTAGTTTTTCTGACAGATCTTAGTGGCAAAAAAACCTTAGGGTCACAGTTTGGATGATTAAGTGTCTGATACATTTAAGTTCAAAATTTTAGAAAATATATATAAGATGTAGCAGCAATGTAAGGATGGACTTAGAGATGACTGACGGCCAATAAACTGTCTACATACATACATGTATCTAAGTGCCTGTGTATGGACACGTGATAAATGTGTACACACACACTGTCATCTGCCTTATATCAGCTGACCCCTTACCTCGGGTTATTGATAACTTTCACCAGGGCATCATACAACTCCTCTTCAGTCACTGTTTTCCATTCCAACAAGATCCCCATGCCTTTTGCCTGCACTCGAGTCATGGTATCATAGTGGTCTCCAAAAAGTGGAATTCCCACCACAGGAACACCATGATACATAGTTTCAAAAATACTGTTCAAACCACCATGGCTTAGGAAGGCTTTGATGTTTGAATGACCTAAAAGTTAAAAAGGAAACAACTGATATTATCACTGTAGATTTATCATCCATAACTTCTTACAAGATCAACACTATAGTAAACATACACTTTAGAAAGTGAATTTTTAAAGTGGCAATTTCTCTGGTCCATCCTTTATATCAATTAAAATGTTTGTTACATACATCAACTAAAAGCCATTTTTTAGGTAAATTAAACATATAATGTTAATCATGAAATATATAACAACATTCTTTCAAACACAATCTTTCATGACTAGCAACACACCCTTTAACTGTTGATAATGAAGAGATAAAGTCAATGAGGGTATCATTGACGGGAAGAGATGTAGTATATAATATTTAGCAGTTACAGGAAAACAAAGGTTAGCTTGTCAAAAATTTAATGAGGTTTACCTCCTAGGTAAGGCCTGTATTAATCAGAGGGATGAAAAACTTGCATAAGAAGTACAAGAAAAATGTGCCGTTGTCCAGTAAATAATTATTGGGTGCAGAAATACTAATCTGTGACATACACTTACCACGTACAGAACCATGTATGAACTGCAGTACCCATTAGCTCTCAGTCTGTTTGTGCCTCTAAGTGCTGTATAGAGAGTGCCTACTCCTGATCTCAGATTAAATGAAGGATCAGATTTAAAAGTACTTCTTAGCAGCAGAACTTCTTATTTTAACAAAACCTGTACTACCATGTCCAACACTGAAAAATCAAGTAGAGATGGCATCTGAAGAAAAGGGGATACTAGAGGGTGAAGGGAGAAGACAGCAATTTGGTGCCTGCTTTTTGTCCTGGATGAATCTTTGATTAGGGAAGCCAGCACCACCCCAGCAGAGGTGATGATTGGAGTAATGTCAAAACGCTAACCTTGGACAAGTGAGAATCCTGAAACAGGGAGAACCTGGGGGAGCCTGGAAGAGGACCTCCTCACAGACCACTGAACTGCTGTGTTTTGCTGTTGGTCCCACATTTAAAGCTCAGGTTTTCCTAGGTGAAACCTTCACCTTGTTGCACTGACCTAGCGAGTGGCCAATTTTCTATATGATTTTTCTGCCTTTTCCACCCTTGTATGGATTCAGAGGTCACAACAGCAAAGAGAAGGAAAACACGAAAGTATTGGGAAAAGAAAACTGCTCTGTTCATTTTTGCTCTGTTTTATTTACTACACTTAGAACGAGCTAGGAACTGAGGACTTATACACAGAAGTTAATCATCGTGCAAAATTGAAATTGCTGGTTCTGTAGCCTGGAGATAGAGTGCAGTGGTGCGGTGCATGCCAACAGTGCTTGCTGATCAGGTGTGAGGTCCTGGGTTCAACAGGCACGCACGCACTCAGACTCAGAAATTATTTAACTATTTGGTGGTACACTCCTAAATTTTCAGCACATAGTTGAGGGCAAGGACAACTTAGGTTACATGATAGCTTATTTTTAAAAACAACAATAATAATGATAAAGAAAATAAAATATCTGAATCATAAAGCCACTGTAGTGTCTAGAAAGTATATTTTAAAATAAGTACAAATTTAAATCATAGTTTCGAAGTCTTTTAGGATTATTACTAGTGTTTTAAGAATAATAAATTTAAAATGTCATTTTATTTGATATTTGGCATTACAATTATCATATAAGTGGTGTCCCATATTGTTCAGATCAACAGTTTCTTATCGTTTTTTAATACACATTAAAGGATGACAACCCAGTGGCTAGCCTATTGGGGAATATTTTCAGGTGTGTGACTTTTGTTTCTGCTCATTTGTTTAACCCTGTGAAGCTGTGCTACTGTGCCTCTCTAAGATACCTGATGGTCCTAATAAAGAGATGAATGGCCAATAGCAAGGAAGGAGCAAGGATAAGCAGGACTGGCAGGCAGAGAGGATACACATAAGAACTCTGGGAGGAAGAGAACGAGGAACAAAAGAACAAGGAGAGGCAGACATCAGGGGCCAGTCACCCAAGAAGGAAAGAAAGGTATAAAGAAATAGTGAAAGATAAAAGCCCAGAAGAAAAAGGTGGATGGGATAATTTAAGTTAAAAGCCGGCAAGAAACAAGCAAAGCCGTGGCTGAGCATTCATAGGTAATAGGAAGCCTCCGTGTGATTTATTTGGTAGCTAGGTGGCGGGCTCCACAAAAAGACAAAAGAGCTTAACATCTCAAAATAGTATTCCTAAAAATTTAATGAAAGAAGTGTTTATTTTCTGTACTCACTAAACTAAGTAAAATACTTTATACTTAGGCATATTTCAAAGAGAAGCAAATAGTATTTTAATTTTGGTGTTAAAGACCAAAATCACAACAAATAAAAATTTAAAACATTTTTTTTATCAAAACTTAGTAATTTAGTAAGAATTAAAACAAATGATCAAATTAAACTTAAGTGAATTATTTCCCTGGTTTTTGGCATTTCTTTGGTTTCAGACAATAGAATAACTCCCAATTATCTAGGACTTAGAAAAATCTGTAGATGAATATAAGATCAGTTTGTGCTCTGTGTTGTTTAAATTTTACCACTTTTACCAATTAACATAGTCCAAAATAGCTTTATTTACTACTACTTATACAACTTTATGTGTGTTTTATGGAAAATTTAAATTGTATGGTGATTGCTTAAAGTTTTTAATTACAGATTCTTGCAACTTACAAATGATTTTCCAATTAACAAAATTTCGAACCACCAGTCTGAAAATTAAGACTTGAAGTACTAGATCAAGACTGAGTCCAACAGAAACCATGCACACATTTTTTAAAGCGTTCAGGAACTGGCACCATGTTTACATATCAGTTCAGTTAAGTGCAGTCGCTGACTTACCAAGCAGGTCATTTTGCGGCAGCCATTCTATGAGCTTAGTGTTGTTTCCTAGATTCTTTGGTTTGGTTCCAGAAAACCTAAAATGAATACCAGATAATCACTCTTTATGAAGACTTAGGACATGGGCTCATTTTGTAGGCTTACAAATGTTATGATACATAATAAACTACTGATATTATTATGAATGAAATTTTAGTTTAGTACCAATAAAAATGTACTTCACGTTATTTATCATAAAATAATTCAGATAGATAAGATATAATTTTCTCATAAAAGTCTATATTCGATTTGCTCTTTTAAGAGACATACATAAGAGAAGGGGGGACCCAAACAAATGTTTGCTGAATTTAATTCTACGCAAGTACCCAGAGAGAAGAGAAAAACCACCACAGGACTGTCACTAGCTACCATTCTTGCCACCCGGTGCCAACACTGAAAGACACCAGAAAGAATGCTGCAATACCTTGGCACCAGAGACTGGCAGCACAAAGCACATAGGTTTTCCTATGTGGCGAACCTCAGATTTGTCTCACAACTAAGGAGATAACAGGAGTCTAATGCAAACAAACGAAACTGTCCTCAATAAGGCATAGGGATGCCCTGGGTTAAGACTGATGGGGAAATCTCAATGGAGCTAGAGTCATGAGAGGAAAGTATGCTCAGAACCCAGTCATTGAGCTTGTCCTAGCCCAGCCTTACATAACGTTATGAAGGTTAAAACCTAGACAATTCAGAGTCTCTATAAATGGCCTGGGAGAGCCTTTTTCCTTATTGTGGAGTTGTGTTCACGATTACATCCCCAGACCTCCAATACAGTATAAATGCAAAGAGATGCATGTTGAATCAAGTATGCAGTTCTGAAACCCTGCTGCAATGCCTTCAGGAAGCTGCGATGTATCTCAGAGTCTATCCTAGCCAGCATAAATTATCTGGTAAGTTACTGAGACTTTCGGAAGCTCAGTCTTTCATATTAAGAGTCTGGAAATATTAATAAAGTTTAGAGAACACAGGGAGAGTGCAAAGTGCCTGAATTAATGAAGTATTTAAATTATTTACTCATTCATCATTATCTAACTAATTTCAAACTGATTTGAAGAAAAATATAGACAGGCATGAAACTACAAATAAATTTTTAAAATAAGAAAAAAAATGACAGCTTAATTTGAAGGAAACATAAAAGTGTATCTGACCTGGACTATCTCATTCCACATAATATATTCGGTGTATGTAGTTATTTTTATCAGTCATGGATCTTTATGAATTAATTATTGATTTCAATGCATTAGAAACAAAATGAAACCTCAAGATCATCTAATCTAGCCAGTGAATCAATGTTCCATGCTCCAGTGCTCCATGTTGTGAAGATTAAATAAGGAGAAACTAAGACTCAACACCTAAATGACCATGACCTTACCTCCAAATCACTTTCTGAGGCAATCTCCCCAGAGCTCCGGCCAGTTTGTTAGCAATGTCTTCTGACAGATACTTGACACCGGCTCCAAAAGACACCAGGACAAAGCCATGTTCCTGAGCACCATTTACCCAACTCTGCAGATCCTGTAACAGAAAAATGGAAGGTAATTTTATGAAGACCAACACAGTTCAGTCAAAGGCATCACAAATATGCTTTTTTAAAAATCTTCATATAATTTCCTTAAACAAACAAACAAACAAACAAACAAAAAGAAGTACTTGGCATTTTCCACTAAAAACTGCAAACAACTTTAAAAGGTTTATTTCAGGATGCAGAGAGATTGTTTAGGCGTTAAGAGCACTTGCCGCTCTTGCAGAGAACTTAAGTTCAGTTCCCAATGCCTACACACAGGTTAAACCATCCATAATTATAGTTTCTGGGGATATGGCACTCTCTTCTGACCTCTGACCATACAAGCATGCACATGTAGGAAAAACACTCATATACATAAAATAAATGAAATTAAAAATATTTCTTCTTGGGGCTGGAGAGCTGGCTCAGAGGCAGATGTACCTAACACTAACACAAGTACAAATGCTCCATGGAGAATGCGTGAAGAGTGGCACCTTTCCCCATGTCTTTCCTGCAGGTAATTTACCTCCTACCACTCAATTTTAGGATCAGTGCCATCTGCAAAATGTTAACTCAGATGCAAGAGGCCTTACAGTGATGACATCATTTAAATTTTCTTTCATAGACCTGAAAGGTTGTAGAGATTTAGTGAACTCTATGTAATGAGCATTTCTCCAGATTTTTTTTTTCTGAATGATGTAAAATGGAGCCCACACATCTAGTTTTTTCCCTCCCTTTTCCGACCACAATTATTGACCACGGTAAGAATATATTTGTTTAATTTTCACTAACAGGCAAAGAAGTAGAAAAAGCTGTAATCATCATGGTTACCTACTGGAAAGTCGTATTTTCAGTATTTAATGCCTTGCTTGGCTTAAAAGGGGCAGTGTAGCTTCAAGTGGACATTCACACTGGGCTGGAGATCAAACAGATGAGGAGAATGTCCAGAGAACAGATGGGGAAAGCGTGGACACCTGGCTTCTAGCTGATTCAATCCTCCTTCCACCCTGGTTTCTAATCTCCACAGGTGCACAGAATATTTAACTGAGCGATGGGCAATAGGAAGGCTGAAGGGGCAGAGCTTTGGATTTGGCTAGAAATACAAGCAGATAGCAAGGACACATTTTAGCAGAGGTTACAGGGATCTTAAGGCTGCTAAGTCCACAGTAAAGACTTTGAAACTGGAATTTCATAAAAAGTATGCCTCTATCCCTGATAGGCTGGGAAGCCCTAGATGTCATCTTTTCTATGTACACACTGACTACCTTCCAGAATTTAACTCATCAATGATACAGTCCAAATCATTTTAATTCTTGAATAAAATTAATTACAAGATAACATGTGTAACATTTAAAAAACCCTTCCTGCAAAAATTTAGTGTTATAAAATATAAAAGTATTTAGAAACTTCCTAACTCCCTCCAAGAAAATATCAAATTAAAAAAAAACAGACTAAAAGTTCATTCATTTACAACACCAACAGCATCAACAGATATAGAAGAAACTGAACTGAAGTGTACAAAATGCAATTGAAGAAAACTTTAATAAACATAAAACTTTAATAAACACACATGAAATTTTTAATAAAGGACAAAAGGAAAATAGGAATAAAGATAGAGTAATAAAATGCCCGAGACATTGTAAACGTTAATGTTGGTATGATTTCAATATTTATAAAAATAAGCTTAGTGTATTATCAGTATATATTTCAAGAGAATTTTGAGACATTAAAAGAAAGTTAAAATTTCAGAAAACAAAATAGGAGGCTGGGGAGATGTCAATTGGCAAACTCCGTTCTCTGCAAATACAAAGACTTAGTTCAGATCCATAGCTGGGGAAAGCAGTGCATCTCTATAATCCAGCAGTGAGGAAGTATATATAGAAGGACCCTAGTATGTGCTAGTTGCCTTTCTAGCAAAGTCATCAAGAGACCCTGCCTCAAATAAGGTGAGGCATGACTGTAAAAGACACCTGATGTCTGAGACTGATCTCCACATGTACCTGCACACATACATGCACACACATCGACATACAGACACACACATACATGTGTACCTGCACACATACATGCACGCACATCGACACAGAGGCACACAAATCAACACACAGACACACATGCATGTGCACCTGTACACATACATGCACACACATGGACACAGACACACATGCATCACACAATCTTTTAAAATACGAAAGCAAAAACAACAAAGAAACTTTGAAAAAGCACAGGCAGTTTACTTTTCTAGGTAATATTGTGTCCCCAAAGTCTAGAGAAGTTGTGTCTCTTAATGTTAGCACATAGGACAGAGCAATCAAGGTTGCTGATGGAGACAGACTACTGTCAGATGTGAGCTGGGGCTTTTCATGAGAGAGTAAAGGAGTTATACAGGCATATGTCTAGAGAAAAATATGAAGCTCTACCCTTCCACAGAGCACGAATCACAGGATAAAAGAAAGTTGAGTTCAACAGGTGTTTTATCTGTGGACACAAAAGAATGCTTTTGTCATACTCCAGAAGGGTCTTCTCGAGTTAGAGACACCAGCAGTCACAACAGAAACAGGCAGATCTCATTAGAGATCAAACAGACGACAGAGAATGGAGGCAACAAATCAGTAATCAAACTGGAATTTACTACATATAATGAAGGATTTGCGCAAAAATCAATAGAAATACACACAAATGACTTGGGAAAACCGACCCCAAAGAATGCTAAATTGCACAAGTGTTCAAGGAGAAAGCTTCACCTTACTTAATAGGCAACCAAACTCAAAATGTTTTCGTATCATGACAGGCATTCTATTAAACGCTAAGGTACCACAATTTAATCCATTTAACTTTAAACACTTACAGAACTGATTCCAATGTTCGCATACTAAGCATTTAAGTTTTATAATGTTCTTTGAACTTCTTTTTTTTTTTTTTTCAGAGAGGATACAATCTCTTAAGTGGCCTCTGGGTTTTTCATGAATCTTTTCCCACTCTAAGATTATCAAGCAAGTAATATTTTCTTTCAGTAATTCAGCAGTATGAGTTCATTAATGTATTGGCTTTCACATGCATCTCAAATTTAGCAATAGAACTTAATTTCCATGCATGGAGAATAATGAGGTTGAGTTCTATCACTAGCATTTCATCTATTTTGATACAGGGTCTGTCTATATACTTCCAGATACTCTGATACTAGCCATGTAGCCCTGCTTATCCGTATGCAATCACCATCCCTTACCCGCCTCCCCCCCTGTGTGCACCACCATCCTTGTCTCCATCATTAGCCTTAACCATCCTTTGAGTCATCTTCCTCAGTTCTATGTACTGAACACTTCATCTCCTCAGGTTTTCAAACTGTCACCACCTTAGTTGCCTTCTAAATCATACTCTGCTCCACTTATCTGTCATCCCTGATAATTCTGAAATGTTTTTTTACTGTTATTTTATAATGTAATTTAAGTATTTGCACGGTTCAAATCATCTCATTATATTTTATTTTGTAATTAGATTATTTGTACATTTGCTATATTTTAATTACTTTTTTAAAATCAAAGCTCCTCACTAACAATGTTACTTCCTGTGTGTACTGTGGGTATTGATGCACATATGCACAGAATACACAATTCAGTTTATTCAAAATGTATATTCAGATGTCAGCACAGCATTGAATTTTATACCACCAGGTGGCATGGCAGGTACAGAGCAGAGATGTTTGGCTTCAAACACCATTATGTTCAAGATTGATACTCATTCCTAAGGGTTCGGGGGAATCCAAACCTCATGGAAATAACTCTCCCATGATAGAAATGTAAACAAAGACCATAGATCAAAACAGTGAATCAAGTGTTCTACATGAACGTATAGTAACAGATGTCAGATGTTACTAAACTATAGATGGATAAAAAATTACATTTCTATACAATTTAACAGCCAGATGTGTGCTCTCTTTCTCTCTCTTTATATATGAGTATTTTAAAAATAGAAGCTCAAAATAAATGTAGATATATTGTCTTCTTACAGTATGAAGTCTTTTGTAGTAAAAAAAAACATAATAGGGAAAATATGTATGATTTACATTTATCATCTCAATATTCTGTATGTTAAAATATCTGCCTCCTTTAACAGCCACAACATGACTAGATAGTGATTTGTTTTCTAGCTGAGAGATCCTTTCTCTGGATCAGGTATATACCAAATGACTTGACTTGGTCAGAGGAAGCAGACAGCCGGGAGTTCTGTATATTCTCTGACCAAGAGCCCACCCCTCTGCCTGTGCTGTTCAGCATTTAGGAGTACAGTAGCTGGGGTCTGTGACAGGGACCGGATAGAAAAGAAAATTAAAGCATACGGCAAAGAAATGATCCAAATGTATAACAATTTCAGTATTTTTAGGGAATACTTTTACATGACGGATGTTGAGAAATCAGGGACAGGATAAAAATCTAACTGAAGGTTAGGTGGCACAGTCCTGTCTCCACCCTCACTAAGGCTTCATTCTGAGGGTATCAGAATCTTCCAGACTTAGAAAGGACTGATGCTTGGGAACAGACTGGGTTGCAGCAGCCTGTTCTAGGTATGTCCTTCTGGCACCCTGTGATCCAAACCTACACCCCTTTCTCCACTCAAAACTGAGAGCCTTGACAGAGGGCCAGCATAGACAAGAAAGCAGTAACACTGGATCCTTTGTCAGCCCCATGCATTCTGGAGGAAAGAATGCCTGGACTGTGAGCGAGTCCTACACAAAGATGGCGATACAAGACAAGGGGGAGGGCGCCGAGGCCGCTTTTGTTGTTCCCAACACCAGCATCAATAGGGCTTTTTTTCTGCATTTTACCATGTTGGATATAAAGAATGTTCTGCTTAGGTCAGGTGGGATGTAAATAATTGAAGTATTTATTTTGTAAAATTCAGCAAGTAGAATAATAGCAAATATTTTGATACAAAATCTTTTAAAAAACAGCTCCAGGCATCACATGATCTTTAAGTATTGCCAAAACAGTTAAATAAGATTGACTAAATAAAA